AAACCTTATTTTTTTAACTTACCTTTTTAATTCAGGTTCCAATGTCTGATTTGGGCATATAAACAAATGCCTAAATCTGAAAAGTGGTGAAATTGCAGCCAAAAATAGATGCGGTCTTCTACTGCTATTCTTTTTGCCGGGGACTGTAATATAAAAGATAAAATGATAAAAGTCAATAGAAATTTTATGCTAATGTAATTTTATTATAAAATTAGATAAAAATGTAGATAAAATTATGATCAAAGAAAAGGTGGGTATGAAAAAGGCTAAAGAATTGATTTACAATTTTATTCTTACACACAATCTTAGTACCAAACGAAATACTTTATATCAACGCATTGGTAGAGCCAAGAAGATTTATGGGTTATTAAAAAAATAGAAATTGATAAAATCAAGTATATCAAAACATATAATGCAAATTCTATTGAGAATTATCCGATAGTAAAATTCAAACTATTATTGATTATTTCTCCAAGAATCCTGATACTGAATTACCCAATAACTAGGATAGTTCTATTATTGATTCTTTACTGGAGAAGGATTAATTACTAGAAGTTGAAGTAAGTACATCTACTGAATCTGATTCTTTCAACTCGGAAACTAATCAGAATAGTGTATCAGAGATGCAAGTGGAACCCTTAGTTTTAGCTGAAGAGGACCCTTGGAAGAAGATAATCAGAGAAACTTTTGAGAAGGATGAGGCTGGGATAGAGAAATAAAGAGAGAATAAAGCGTTATCAAACATAGTAACTCCAGCTAAAGGGTTGCATAGCAATCAGGCAAATGATTATGATGATATGTATTTAATGAGAAGGTAAATGAAGTTAAGTCAAACGATGAAAACGATTCTAGTAATTCTGAAGAAGAGATGCCAGATGAATCAGACAATGATGGGTATAATGGATATAGTAAATATGATGAATATGATAGTCGCGATAGAGATTATTATTATTATGACAGAAGATATAAAAGGAAAGTCTTATCAATGATGAGTCTTATTATCTCTCCAGTAACTGTCTAAGAGAATCATTCCTTTTTTTAAATCATATGGGTGGCTTAGCTATCGAAAGATAATGTTATTAAGCGATAGATCCTGATTCTATTGGCTGAAAGTGTGAAATCTTCACATGATATAGTGGACTACATCTCGAACTTTACCTTAAAAAAACAAAGCTATAATAGAGAAATATTGTTTAAAGTATAATAGTTTATAATTATAGAATGGTATTATATACCCAGGGCTAGTCCTGTATCATGTAATTTATCTTAGCTCAATGTATTGCAAATAAAAAATATTTAGAGCACTAAGTGATCTGAGCAATATAATCAAATATTTTTTTCATAGCGATTGGTAATAATTTTTAGACTGTATATACTAATTTTTAATGCTCGAGCATATATGCATGTTAATACAGGATAATTTAGAAAATCTGGATTGGCAAATTAAAATTATCAGTGAGGATTCAGGGACTTTTATTCTCAAACTTTCTCGCATATTCTCAAAATTATTATGTATAAAGATTTCTTGATGATCTTTACATATAGATAGCATTAAATTCTTTTATTGTTAAATTAAGAAAAATCTGTTGATTAGATTTTGTAATATGATCATATTAATGTAATTTCCCCAAAAACGTATAACAAAATTGATTCTATAAATTATATAAAAAGGTGATAACCTGGTTAGTAAATCCTTTTATCCGCCTTATACAAGTAAAATGAAAAAATCAAAACCAATCTAACACATCATTATTTGCATCATTGATATTTATAATCAAACGAACTTATATATTCTGTAAAGTAATAATAAAGTAAGTTAGTTTATTGCTCAACTAGTTTTTTTAAACATGTCATCATGATATTAATCAATTTTCTCACCTCTATAAATGTTATAAAATAAAACGGGCATATTACTCTTCTTGTTATATATCAGAATTTTGATTTTTGCCAAGAAAATCTTTGATGTATAATAGGCACAGTAAAACTATTCACATGAATCTCGTCACATGCCTTAACATCACGCTTCTCAATAAAATTTTATGCAGTGTATCTACAAATATCATCACGTGCCAAATTCTTGGTATTTAGCGCAGTATCATATTGGTAATAAAAAAATTGAATTACCTTTATTGTAATGCATTAAGTAAGCGAAATGAAACGTAGCAAAAATTAATATTAATGATAAGTATGAATCGGAAATATTTTTTTTATCTCAGTTGCTAATCTCTTAAATTTATATCATAGATTCAAAATTACTTAGTCTTGGAGAAGTTTCATTATGGGAAATATTATTTTAGACAAAATTTTCATAGATATGGGTGGGATAATTTATTTTATGTAGTAAAAGAGTATAGGGATGTGAATCTTTTAGTTAGTAATAGAAATAAATTAGTTGTAAAAATTTATCAAAAATGTGAGAGAGTAAAGAAATAGCTTGATGCTGAGACTCGCATTAAATGCCTAGGATCCACGTACTCCTTCCCTCTTTGATAGCATAATATATTTCATTCTCTACTTATTACTACTACTATATGTCTATATATCCAAAAAATTATTAATAAAGTTTCGCTTGCATTTTTATGCATGAATGGATGTTATATGATTTGCCCTAACGTGTAAAATTTATGATGTTTTTATTTTCTTATTTTATAAAATAATTTTGGCCAAAATTAAGTATATCATTATTAATGGAAGATCATCAAAAAAATAACGTCATTTCTTACTTTCTGTGGCTTAGAAACTCAGCTTCGAGTCACATGATTGATCAATATCAATATAATTACTTCCGATATCTGACACTGATCATAAAAAAAAATGCCAAAACGCAAAAAATCAGATGTGGATGCTTCGCGCAAAGAATGGGAACCATTTGTAAAGATTTTAGAGAAGCCTGACGTATCCAACTGCCTCCTGAATATTTATGTAGCTTAAATTGTGGCACTCTTAAAGTTCACGAAAAAAAAAGCGTACATAGAAAATGGATCGACGCTATCAACGAAATCTCAAAAAAACATTCTTCAATACCTATTCAAAAGCTTGCGAAGAAAAGCGTCGACAACTTTAAGGTTGCGATAATTTTATTTAAGGATAAGTTGGAACACCCCATCTACATCCATCCTCAGTTTTGGATGCAGGTCAAGATCCTCTGTTTTCGGAGAGTGTTACCAGCGGAAAGGTGTGAAGCCACTGTGATCCTCTGTTTTCACGTGTGGTAGAATCCTCTGTTTTTCACTCACATTTTTCAGGGTTCCTTCTTCTATTGGGCCATCCTCTGTTTTGGTACCATAGTTGTTTTGAGTCCCTTGCTCAATCCTGTTAGATCGTTTTAAAAGTTCAGATTTATTAACTTTCTCTTCCGATAGAAAGAACAAAAGTCACGGGCCGTGGTCAGCTTTTGGGAAGAGGCCAGTGATCGGCAGAAGAAACGTGAGCTCGGCAACACACTGTTTTCTATGCACTTCGAAGGTTTCTCGGAACTGGTGAATACTTTCTATATATTATGCATTATAATAAACCATTTGTTTTGAGATCTTCTCTTAAAATATATCCTATTTTTCGTTAGGTCCAAAATAGAAATAATCCGATTCAACTAGATGATTCAGATGATAGGATGATGATAAAACTCAAGATGATTCGAATGATTCGCACGCAAAGGATGATGATAAAACTCAAGATGATTCGAATGATTCGCACGCAGAGGATTATGATAGTGAGGAAAACACCAAGGAGTAAGTATTGAGATTTTTTTTTTCGCTTGTCCAATTGACCTTCATTTCACATTTATTCCATTCTTTTATATAGAGAATATTATGCCTATATCATTGATTTGGATAATATATCGGAACAAACTAAACCTGCATTCTGCTCAATTGACGCCTGGAAAACTATCATTTCCTCCTCAAATATATCAACAAGTCTACCTTCTTCTGTGGATAAACAAATTGAATATTATTTGAAAGATATCAGTATTAAACAAATACGATAATCAATTAATTCTTACAAAACAGACGATACTGACGAAGAAAAATATACACATAAAGTCTTTGATCATTTGTAAGTGCTGTTGGTATTATGCTGTATGAATAACCGAATTTATCTGACTAATAATATTGAAATGACAGTATTTTCTGTCTTGAAAATCGACCTGAATATTTCGCACAACGACCAACCACTGAGGGAACATTCCGAGCAAGGTTTATAGAACCAATTATGGAACCATTTATTTTTATATTCAAGGACCTCATGGATTTAAATTGGTAAGCGAACTACCTTTTTTTGATGGATTGCCTGCGTTTAATACCCTTTTTGGCTTACCAATGAGAATATTATAGGGGAGAGATTTCGAGTTCATCTTCAGCTACCGTCGAAACTTTAATCTATCAGAAGGAAAAAGACGACGGATCGGATCTAAGTCAGATTGTATTGGGTCTATTGTAAATGCCGATGACAAAGAACTTCTAATATTTGAGTTGTCCGGAGCCCCTACTCGTCTTCCAACCAGACATCCAGAAGGAGATAAGGTCAAACTTGATCGGTGCATGGTAGATGTTCTTAACAACCTTCTTGGAGAATATAAAACGTGCGAATTTACACTGGCTAAGGAATTCAAGGTATTTGGGTTTCAAACAAAAGGTAAAACTTTACTCCTTATTTTTGCACACATGATGTTTATTTTAATCCTTTGGAATTTAACTCACAATTTATATTGTTTACAGGCTATAATTGTTGGTTGTGGACTTTATTGCCGGAAAACATTGTCCCAATTCACGTTACCAACCAAAGTACTTGATTTATACTATTTATATGATCTCCTCAGATCCATGTTTTGCTTTCGAGACGAGTTAGTCAAGTCATTGGGTGCTTTGCAAAGACTTAAAGTTGCAAAGGCTCGCAAGCCTGATCCTATTGATCCAGTCAGTCATTATATATTGCGTTTACCACCTTCATGAGCTGTGATAAAAATGGCAAGAAGTATGTTTTAATCATTGATTGTATGTACCTGGGTTTTTTACTATTCGCGATTAATACAAATAGTCTCGCAATACAAAACGAATAAGCTAATGAAAAGTAAAGTTTTTATAATTCTGATGCTATTGTATCACTCATTAACACATGAAGATTACATGATTATTATGTCGCATGTCGATATCAATAAAGCTTTGTCTACATTTCAGGCACGCGGATGGTGTATGTGTGTATCGAAAATAAAAAAATGTATATATACCGTTCCGTAAAAAAAAAAATACTCTGATCTGAGTTGTATAAAACAAAAATAAAAAATCCACGTGACATGCTGACCATTGGTCAGGAACTTTAGATTAGCCGATCACCCGTGATTTGAGAAACCACTCAGCGCCATGAAAGATTTAGCCGAATCAAAAATTATATCTGTTTTTTACAAAAATTGAGATTTATTTTTTTTAATAAGGGATCGGCATGATCGACCGATGCAAAAAACACATTTTTTCATATAAA